AAATATTATTTCTTCTTGAACTCTACTGCTGCTACTTTCCTTCCCATGACCACTGGGTTTTAATATTGACATTCTTAGTCATTTATTTTATTTAAATTAAAAGAGTTTAAATTCATATTGATGGTTCTAGCCATAAGTGCATTATTTTTGTAACTATAACATTTTCCTGGGAGGTGTAGAGGGGTACCAAGATGGCAGACTAGAAGCAGTCTTCACACACCACTCAAATGGAGTGGACTGAAGGTAACGAGTGTATATCCACCTTTAGATCAACCCTCTAAGAGAGAGCATTGTGAATCAAAGGACAGTCAACAAGAGGTACCCAACACGAAGGAGCAGGAAGTGAAGCAATCTGCTCTGCGGTTTGGAGGTACACAGGGAAGAGGAGTGCACATGTGGGGAAGGAACAGAGGAGAGAATCCTGGGGCTAACCCTCACCCCATGATCATTGCCATCTGACCTCTGAGAGGAACCCTCCATTGCTGAAGGCCACATGACTGATATAGGAGCTATCTGGAGACTATGCAGTGACATTACTCCAAAGAGAGGACATAGGCTTCACAAGCAGTGACCCATTGGCTTGCGAACCCTGGGCGCTGTGGCAGGTGCCATTTTAAAACCCTAGACGCAGAGCACAGCCTCTACCCAGGGGTCAGACTTGTGGCTGCTGCTTCCCCATCACCACCCCATGAGTCCAGGGGTGGGAGGAGCAAAGGGGCAGGGAGCTCTCATGTATCCCTGGCAGGAGCCCTGCACTCCCATTGCCCCAGTGGACCTGGGCCTGGCAGACAGACAATCACAGCCACCTGTCAACATGGGCAGGGCTGCACACAAGCTGGAGCCCAGCTGACAAACACAGCCACCCCAGGAACTGAATGGGTCAGCTTTTCAATGGGCATAGGCTGACAATCACCTCTGCCCATAGATGGGCAGTGCTACGCTCAAGCCACAGCTACAAATGCTGTGGCCCACAGTTCTAACCCTGAAGTTGTCAAGTGCTGACAGTCACTGCTGCCTACAGATCAAAGTAGAACAGCTCTCATTCCCCTGATAGTCACCACTGCGATAATGATTGCTGCTAACAGAACTAGGTGGGACATTTCATTCATTCTGCAATAGGGGGACCACCAGTGGCAACCACAGAAGAATGGTGAGTCAGGAGAGGCAGGAGAGCAACTGTGTTAAGTACTTACAGACATCTGCCCAGCTCCAGCTGGGTCAATCCTCCAGTGGAGGACACAAGTGCTCCATCCAGGAACCCTCTGCTTTGCACTAAGTAGGAGAGTTCCCAGCAAAGGAGAATAGGTGGGCTGTAAGTTTATCTCTCTTGAGCTGAGAGAAGTAATTTCAGATGAGAAGGATCCAGAAAAAGAACTCCAGCAACATGACAAAACAAGCTGATTGGACACTCCCAAAGTATCACAATAGGTCTCCAACAGTGGACCCCAACCTAAAGAAAATTGTCAAAATGCCAAAGATGGAATTCAGAATATGGATGAAAATAAGAGAAATGAGATTAAAGAGAAAGTTGACAAACAACACAAAGACCCCCCAAAAAAGTTTCAGGACACAAATGAAAAATATAAAAAACTCACTAAATAGATAGCATAAAAGAATATATAACAGGTCTTATAGAAATTAACGAGTCATTTAGAGAATTTCAAACTACAACAGAAAGCTTCAACAATTGACTAGACAAAACAGATGGAAGAATTTCAGAGCTTGAAGACAAGGCTTTTGAACTAATCCAGTCAGTAAAAGATAAAGAGAGAAGAATAATGAAGAATGAACAGTCACCCAGAGAAATGTGGGCCTATACAAAATAGACCAATATAAGAATTATAGGTATCCCTGAAGGAGAATAAGAAAAAGCAAAAAGCATGGAAAACCCGTTTGAGGGAATTATTGAGGAAAACTTGACTGATATCACCAGAGATTCTGATATCCAGATACAAGATGGTCATTGAATACCAGGAAGGTTCACAGTAAATAGGACGTCTCCAAGATACATAATCACCAACATGACCAAAGTCAAAATGAAGCTGCAAGATGAAAGCAATAACTATAAAAGAAAGCCCATCAGACTAATGGCAGATTTCTCAGTAGAGACCTTATAAGCCAGAAGGCATTGGGGCCTTATGTTTAGTTTTCTTAAACAGAATTGCCAAACAAGAATTTTATATCCTGCAAAATTTGATTTCATAAATGATGGGTAAATAAAGACTTTTCCAGACAAGCAAACACTAAGGGAATTTGTCATTACTATACCTACCCTACAGGAAATACTCAAAACTGCATTATACATGAGTTTCATAAGATTAAAAAAAAAATGAAATCATATCATATACCTTCTCAGACCACAGTGGAATAAAACAAGAAATCAATTCCAAGAGAAACACTCAAATCCACACAAAATAATGGAAATCAAACAACCTACTGCTGAATGATGCGTGGGTCAATGATGAAATTAAGGCAGAAATTAAAAGAATCCTCAAACTTAACAATGAAGGAGACACAAGCACTTTCAAACTTTATGGGAGACAATAAAAGCAGTCCTAAGGGGAATGTTCACAGCCGTAAATGCATATATCAAAAAGACAGAAAGACCACAAAGTAACAACCTAATGTCATTTCTCAAGGAACTAGAAAAAGAAGAGCAAACCAAACTCTAAGCCACCAGAAGAAAAGATCTTCAGAAAAGACCCATTTTGCTTTGGGTCTACACACACACACACACACACACACACACACACCCCCCACATGGACTACTATTCAGCTATAAGAAGAAATGAAATAATGTCTTTTGCAGCAACTTGGATGGAATTAGAGACCATTATCCCAAGTGAAATATCTCAGGAATGGAAAAATAAACACCACATGTAGTGTCTGATATTTAGGAGTTAAATGATGAGCACACACAGACACAAAGGGATGTAAAGGACACTAAAAACTAAGAACAGAGGATGGTTGGGGGGTGAGGGCACAACAAACAGTATTCTGGTGATGGGCACACGAGAAGCCACTACTTAAGCCTTATACAAGCTATCCATGTAAAAAAAACTTTGTATTCCTTAATATTTTGAAATAAAAAAACATTTTTTATCTTTCCATATTTACAACCACTAAAATATTCTTCTAAAATTAGCTGATGAATAAGGAATTACTTTTATGTTTTGAATATTAATATTGGATTGATGCCAGAAAACTGAGTTAGAAATTTATTGTATTTTACCTAATACACTTTTTAGTCAAATTATGAAGTTAATGGGACATGAATCACCTCATACTCAGCAGAGTAGCTATTCTACAATCACTATATCAACACTTGTAGTTTTCTGCATGGGGGCCCTTTCCATAATCTCACAAATATTTAGGATATTACATAATGCTCAAAAATTTATTGTTGTGATCCTTTGGAACTTCAGTAATATAGAATAAGAAAATAATAATGGATATTATCTCAGTTAACCCTCCTTACTATTAACATTATTTGATAAGACCAAAGATATGGCTATTTTGTGGCTAAATCAAAACTGAGTGGCCTTAGATATAAGATACCCTGAGATCTCAGTGGCCTCTCAGAACAGGAGTAAAAGCCAAAACTGGACATCAATAGTATTAGAGCTGGAGATATAAAGATATATAGTCAACAACAAAACATGCAGTCCAAGAGGTCTCATAAACTAAGATTTAGAGCCAGACTGTGTCACTAAGGAGGTAAAATTGTGTGGCTATAACACAACTGAAGGAAGACATTCTCCAAATCAAGTGGTTGGAGGCATCCTGGTTCTGAATGTCCATGAGTGACCAATGGGATATCAACCAATGCCTGAGACTATGAGGAAAGCATACAATCTCTTCAAGGCTGAACAACACATGGAAATTCAGAGCACCACTAATTGGCTTAGTGAGAATCTTAGCAAGATTTTCCTAAGAGAATCTAAAGGAAGTGATCACAAGAGTGAAGTCAATATGGGAAAGAAGAAAGGAAAGAGAATAAAACTCACCTAGACCCTCACCTACATATTAATAAGTCTTATTTCAGATGCTGCCCTGACAAAGTTAAAAGTTCACATGTGTTATTTGTTTTGATAAAGACAGACTTTAAAAGTGTACTTCTGAGGCTAGTATGTAAGTAAAAGGTGGCAATGATTGCAACAACTTTGGGCTGGGAAGGGAAGTGTCCTATCAGGCATCTGCACACCTAAGTTCACTCCTAGCCCTGAAACTTAATACAATTGTCCTTTTGAAAACTAATTGCTGAAGGTGATGTTATAGATAATTTTCTTTAACAGTTATAAATCAACTCAGCTATGGTGACAACAGATAAGAAAATCAAAAATCAAGATCAGAAATCAAACCCTAGGCTAGAAACAACCAGAATATGGCTGGGGTAAAATCATTGACCAAGAAATAGCAAATAGGCCATTTTCACTTTTACAAAATTATTTATTTATGTAAAATTATTTCCTTAAAATGCTATATATCATTAAAATATATGCTAAAGTTTCATGATAATGCAGAAAAGTTTTTACACAAAGATTTAAATATATGTATATTTTTATTAAAAATAAATCTTACTTTCAAAAACTAATATGATTTTCAAGTCTCCATTGAATTCATTGTATTTTCAGGTTATTTTAATCCAATTATCCCTTCGTGTGCAAAGTATAAAGGAACAGAGAAAGAAACAGATTAGGGTCAAATTGAAAGAGGATTGAAAACACCCTTGGGTTAAAAATAAAAAAAGGAAAAAAGGAGCTACTATTTTCTATTGTGAATCAGAACACAAGAATCATGAGGAGAAAGTTGAAAGGCAGAAAAAAAAGGAATTCAAAACTGGGAAGTAAAAAGGAGAGGATAAAATCCTAAGAATAACTTCCAATTTGATTTATCTAACTAGTTAATTTTATAGAAGTCAGAACAAAATTGCTGAATGCTGTTATCATTTCTCATTCTAGGAGATTTCATGGCAACAGAATTATACTTCCATAGTAATCATGTCATCTTTTCTTAATGTCACTTCCTCTTCTCTGATCTTTATCCTGACGGGAGTTCCAGGACTAGAAGTTGCTCATGTCTGGGTCTCTATCCCCTTCTGCTGTCTCTATGTAACTGCCCTCTCTGGAAATGGCATAATCCTATTTGTCATCATCACCGAGTTGAGTCTGCATGTATCTATGTACTATTTTCTCTCTATGCTCTCAACCACGGACCTGGGCTTGTGCATTTCCACACTAGTCTCTACACTGGGTATATTCTGGTTCAACGCAAGACAGATCAGCTTCCACGCCTGTGTTACCCAGACATTCTTCATTCAACTCTTTACTGTCATGGAGTCCTCAGTGCTCCTGGCAATGGTCTTTCCTGCTTCATTGCCATTTGTAACCCACTGAGATATGCTACCATCCTGACTGACTCCAGAATCGTCAAAGTGTGGTTTGCGATCCTTGTCAGAGGCACAGTGATCCTATTGCCTTTGGCTTTGCTTCTTAAACGTCTGTCCTTCTGCCAAAGTCATGTGCTCCACCATTCCTACTGTTTCCATCTGGACATTATCCAGCTGTCGTATTCTGACAATAAGATCAACAGTGTTTTAGGGCTTACTGCCCTCATAGTCACTGCAGGAGTGGACTCCATCTTTATTCTTCTCTCCTACATCCTGATTATTAAGACTGTCCTAAGCATTGCTTCCCCAGAGGAGCGGCATAAGGCCTTTAGCACTTGTATTTCCCACATAGGTACTGTTGCCATTTTCTACATCCCTCTCATTAGCTTGTGCTTTGACCACAGGTTTGGGAAAAGAGCCCCTCCTTATGTGCACACTCTTATGGCCAATGTGTATTTGCTTATTCCACCAGTGATGAATCCCATTATTTACAGTGTGAAAACCAAGCAGATCTGTAGGGCCATTAAAAAAATCCTCTTTCCCAAAGGATCTGAGGTCTGATTCTAATACTTCACAATAAAATCTACTCCTTAGTTGTCACTTCTAAGACATAGCATTTAATCAATATAACTCCTTATATAAGTAACCTGAAATCAAAATACATAGAAGGTTGGGTGGGGGATGCAGTTTGGAGGAAATTTATTCTTTATTTGCAATAGAACTATTATTAATCTATTCTTTAGAAATGAGCAATACAATATCTTGATGTTATTTAATATAAAAATGTTAGTAAAGTTTTGGAAGCATGAATAATAATGGCTAAAATGAACACTTTGCTCTTAAGATCAAGCCTCCAAAATTACATGTAAAATAATAACTCATATCTTCTGTCCTATCTGGTTTTCTTAAAGTACACATAATAGTTAATTGTTTTCTAACTTTAAATTAGACCCTATTACCTATTATTCTTACACATAATTTAATCACCATTAAGTCATTGTTTCATTTACTAAGTGTCTGCTATTGTCAGACACTGCACAATATGATAGGTTGGCAGAAACAGAAAGGATATTTTCATAAATAGTTAAATTCACAGATAAGAAAATAATGAATCAAAATCTGATTACTATGTGATATGTTGGAATATATAGATAAAGTCAAAAGGAGTAATGAGAATATATAAGAATAAAGCTTAATCCAGCCTGGGAAACCATCAAAATGTGTTGTTTGAGATATAAGGTCAAGAATTGGAGAAATCCACTTCTAGAATGGTAGCATGAGGAGCTGTGAGGACACATCATTCAGGAAAACAGCCATAAACAGTGATATGTGTGTATATATATATCATATATATGTGATATGATCACATATATGTGTGTATGAAAAATATATATGTATATAGATAAAATATATATACACACAAGTTCAATAATTATATATAGCTAATATATGTGAGATACATATGTATTTATACAATCATAGTGAAAGATATATAATTTTATATATGTGTACATATATATATATAAACACACATATATGTGTGTATATAGAGAGAGAATACATATATATATAGTGTATATATAGTGAAATAAATGTAAACATTTACATCCTTTGGAAATTACCCTAAAGGTATACAGAAAATAAAATATTTTTTCGAGAAAAACCTATTAAATTACTGTGAGAGTAAGAGTCTGTGGGACTTGAAGTATGGCCAGCTTCTGCCCTCCTTTCCTTCTCAGCTCAGTGTATTGATCACTCCACTCCAAGTAGGCATAGCCAAGAACACAGGGTTCCTTCCCTTCCTCCTATGCCCCTTCTGTTTTCAGTCTAGACCTGCAGTGCCCACTCCCTGTCTGTGGACTGGTACCAGTCCATGGCCTCTTAGGAAACAGACTGCACAGCAGGGGGTGAGTGGTGGATGAGTGAGGGAAGCTTCATCCATATTTACAGCTGCTCCCCATCACTCACATCACCGCCTAAGCTCCACCTCCTGTCAGATCAGCAGTAGCATTAATTTCTGTATTATGGTGAGTTGTATAATTATTTCATTATATATTACAATGTAATAATAATAATAGTAGAAATAAAGTGCACATAAAATACAATGCACTTGAATCTTCCCAAAACCATCTCCCCACCACCTTGGTCAATGAAAAAATGTCTTCCATGAAACTGGCCCCTGGTGCCCAAAAGGTTGGGACACCTGGTCTAGACCACCAGCATTTCTCACTTCAGCTCTACATGGCAGAAGCTATGCAGGTGAGTGCAACCCAGAGGTCAATGGCTCCCTTTATCCACTCAGCCCCCACTCACAGAGCAGAGGCTGTACCTCTAGCATGGCAGCCAGAGAATACTGGGCACCATCACACTTTCCCTAGCTCAGTCCTAAGGCAGAGGGTCCATATCAAGAGATACAAACTTAACAAGCTATATGCCATCCTGCCTACTGCCCTGCTTATGTCAGGAGTTTCACATCAAGAGTGGAGAGCCACAATGGAATTAACTAATAGAAAAACCTAAGAAATCCACTAAAATATTAAAACTAATAAATGAGTTCAGCAAAGTTATAAATTATAAGATCAATATACAAAAAATCAATTGTTTTAACATACACTAGCAATGAACAATCCAAAACTGAATTAAGAAAAAAATTACATTTGCAATAGCATCAAAAGAATAAAATACTTAGAAATAAATTTAACCAAAGAGGCACAAGACTTAACACTGAAAATATTTTACACCAAAATATTGCTGAAAGAAATTAAAGACCTAAATAAAAGGAAAGACATGCCATATTCATGAATTTGAAGACTTAATATTGTTATGATGGCTATACTTCCCAAATGGGTTTACAAATGTAATGCAATCTCTATCAAAATTAAATCTCACTTCTTTGAATAGATTGTCAAGCTTGTCCTAAAATGCATATGGAATTTTGAAGGACCCAGAGTTGCCATTATAATCTTGAAAAATAAAAGAGCAAAGCTGGAGGATTCATACTTACCAATTTCAAAATTTACTACTCAGCTGCAGTTATTCAAACAGCATGAAACAGCAGAGAAGAGACATATCAATCAATGAACTAAAACTGAGAGTCTAGAAATAAACACTCACATTTCCTGTTAACTGATTTTCAACCAACTTGCCAAGACAGTTCAATGGGGAAAAAATAGTGTTTTCAACATACGGTGCTGCCACCCAAATGTCTATCAGGTAAAATAAATGGATATATAAAATGCGAGGGGGTCATATAATAGAATATTAATTCAGCTATAAAAATGACTGAAATACGTGATAAAAAAGGACTGATACATGCCACAAAATGTATGAGCCTTGAAAACAGTATGATAAATGGAAAAAAAATCATATTAGACCAAGATTGTATGATTCAATTTACTTGAAATTTTCAGAATAGGCAAATCTATACAGACAGGAAGTAGATTAGTGGTTGCTTAGGGCTGGGGGGGATGGAGATAATAAGGTATGATTGCTCCTGGGTATGGTGTTTTTTAGGAGGGTTTGAAAATGTTCTAGAATTTATTGTGATATAGTTACATACCTCTGTGACTATACTAAAAAATATTAAATTTTACACACTAAATGAGTGAATTACATCATAATAAAACTATTATATTAATAATAAAAAAGAAGAATTAGAGATTAGATAAGGAAAGGGAAGAAATGACACATTCTAAAATTACTCCCACCCTAGGAAGGGGAGACAATATGCTTGGAATAAAGATTAAATTCATACAATCAGTGACCTATAAAGTTGTGGAATCCATGAAAGGTACCACAAAAGATGAAATAACGTTGACAGAACAAAATTGCAGCCCAAGATCTGTATAGGAGAATACTGAGGTAAAGTGGAAACAATTCTATAGCATGTTCCAATCCCTAAGGTGGTTAGATTAGAGAATCCCATAGAAACGTCCAGCCATTTTAGTACTGTCCCAACAATCCCACCCTGGCCCTATTTGTGCCATCCTTCAGGCCACAGAGAGATATTTGCCCAAAAGTGGCAAGAATGAACGTGATCACCAAGACAAGTCTGCACTCTAACTCTCTGGCAACATCCTGAATGAACAGAGGACTCTTATGCCCAGATGAAGAGCTAATAGTGTACCCTCCCTCCTTATGACAGGGTATTCCATCCCTTCCCCATGACACAGAAGGAAATCAGTCTAAATAGTAAATAGAAACAATACCCACAAAAGCATGAAGAGAAAACACTGAATATGTAGAAGACTCTAGAAACATTATGCTGAATGAAAGAAGCCAGTCACAAAAGCCTGCATGTTGCATAATTCCTCTTACAGGAAATGTCTAGAATAAACAAATCCCCAGAAACAGAAAGTAGATTAATGGTTTCTAGGGGCTAGGGGGAGGATGAGTGGGAAGTGACTGCTAATGGGTGTGGGGTTTCCTTAGAACATGAAAATGTTCTAAAATTGATTGTGGTGATAATTATACAACTCTGTGAATGGACTAAAAATCATTAAATTGTATACTTTAAATGGGTTAATTGTATGCTATATAAATTGTATCTCCCATAAGGTTGTGAAAAAATAAAGAACACTGATGGAAAACAACAATAGCAAATAAACATATAAAAAATCCCAAATACCTGTAAAAGAAAAATAATGATACCTGCTAGGTTGAATCATGAATCTATTAAATATATTTGACGAATAGAAAAAAGGGTGGACTATGATGGCCTTGGACATGTCTGCCCTCAAATCTGTTTTTTCCCTTGCTCTACTCTGCTCAGTACCTGCGGAGAGCAGAACCTTGCAGGCTGTGCATCTCAGCCTTCCATGCCACTGGATTCCAGCTGGGTTTGGCCTAAGGTAGTCACTAACAGGAGACTGAAGGCAAGGCAATCAGTTAAGGACTTTCTCCCCACCCCTCTGTGCCTTGTTTGGGCAGCATCTCTGGCAGTGTCGCATTTCTTCCACATTTCCACCTTCCATCAGGGAACCTCCCAAGCTCCAATAGCAACAAGGAGAGTCCAGGCAAGAGGTCGTAGTGGCTTCCTGCAGTCAGGTTACCTCGCCATCACCTGCACGCCTCTCAGGTTCTTCATCACTTAGGTAACTATATTCTTCTTTTAAAATATTTGTAGTGGCTTCTGATTTTCTGCTTAACCCCTGACTTTCACATCTTATTGCCCAACAATTTAACACCTAGAGAACGTCATGTGAACTTCACTTACATGTGAACTAAGACGATGCTTATAGTATAATTTCAAGGCTTTAGATAAGGATACTTAAGGATGGCATTTTTTTATCACAGCAAAAAAAAAATGAGAATCATTTAAATGTCTGTGAATGGAAGATTAGTTTTCAAAAAAATATGAAGTATATGTCTAGTATGAAATGTAATATATACAAGTTTTTAAAACCATATATGACACAAAAATTATATTACTATATATCAAATGTATGATCTCAAAATAGATTTAGTTAGTAGAGCAAAATGCAAAGTGCATGTGCTAAATAGAAAGTATTCACATGACTTTAAAATTTCTAAACAATTCTATGTGCTCTGTCTGTGCATGT